TTCTATATAATATAAATTCACGTAATTTGCTCTTATTTTAATATTTAATTTTTTATTGGCAATTCCTTATAGCACGTGGAATAATCTGGAAATGAATCTAGAACAAACCGATGGATGATTATTACCAAATAAGATGTGATCTGTAATAACCAAATATAGTATATTCCTAGACTATACTATAAAAAGGTGTAGTTTGAGTATAAACAATATATAATAAATATTACTGGTATATCTAATATATAATAAATATATAATTTGATTGGTTAATGCTCACATATTAATCTAAATTTGGTGATCTAAATAAAAAAGGCCCAATTCCACAAATCTGCTAATATGCAATAAATCAAAACAATCACTTTAATCATTCGTCAGACAATCAAAAGAATTAAATAAAGGGTTTAGACTAAATTTAGTAACTCTATTCAAGGCCCAATATATGCCGATTGGTCTATGTGGAAATTTTTTAAATAAGTTTTTACAATTGATGAATAGTCTGATTTCTTTACAACGTGAGTTATTTTACTTCAAAGTAAACTATGAACGAAATCGTAATATACGAGTCATATGGGTGAATTTGTGTCAACATGCAGCATTATACAGCAGTAGACTTAGACCCCAAAAATTTTTATAGAGGGTCAAGTCGTTTGACATGATGGTTGCTGCAAAAAATTTATAAAGATAACAATATACATGATCATATGGGCTAATCGGAGAAATTGGACCCTAGACATAAACACCGAATTTATTTTGAACCCCGTAATTAATCGGTTTTAATTGGTCTGTTATATGAAACAATTACACAATAAATTTAAGGTAATTCGGATAAATACCCTAAAATAATTCAAGGATATAATAGATTATGCAAGATAATGCATCAAACCCATTTGTCCCAGACCAAACCCATTTCTCAAGCCCTATAGAGTCAGGCTATTTGACATAATTACGTATTGTATACGCACGTACGGTAGAGCATTCAGTGAAAAATTATATAATTTATACGTACATAATGAGTGCGTATTCTGAATTTCTATTTATGTATTAATCTATATTAACCATGTTATAGATCTTCCTTACTGATTTCAAATCACGGGGACAAGATTTTATCAGGCCACCGGATTGATATACGTAGAAGATTGAAAATTAGATTTTTTTTTTTTTTGTCATCAATTATTACAAAATTCTGAATTAAAATATATACAATATAATGTGATTTTTTATGTTATATTTTATATACAGTATAAGAACTTGTTATACGTATGTACGTATATAATATTTATAAAAGTATACTGTAAAATCCAAATATTATTTATTTATCCTATATCAGGTGTCTGATCTCGGTTATAACTGGTTATCTGGTTATCTTCAAATATCATTTTACCATCCAAAAATTCAGGTTGGTCGTTATTTATAGCATCTAGTTGGTTAATAGCAAGTCTCTTATATTGAATGGTGCTTTTGAGTGTGATATTTCCAATTATCCCTTAGATTGTAGTAGAATACAGGCAAATTTGCCTGCGTTTTTACACTTTTTTAGCTCTGATTTACTTTT